ATTTCAATATTACTATTATCATTGTTATTTTCTAATAAAAAATTTATTGCAATTTGAAAGTCATATATTATAATTGGAATATTGAAATCATGTAATCTGTATTCATATATTGGATATACAAATAGAAATTGTTTAAAAAATAATATAAAAGATAATATAGAAAATATATGAAATATATATGAAATTATACATATATGAAAAATATTGATTTATAATAATATTAATTCATTTATTTATCAATTCAATTAATATAATTATGACTTTGCAATTAAAACAAGAAATTAAATACAAGAGATATAACTTTGCAATTAAAACAAGATTATAAAACAAAATACATAACTTTACAATTAAGATGAGATATTATATAAAAAAATACTAGCTATTCTAGTCAATAAAATTAATTTAAATAAATGTGAAATGATCATTCGTAAAATATCAAATAAAGAATTCTGATTGGACAAATTAATTATTATATATAAAATCTACAATAATTTTTGGCGTTTTGGCGCAGTATTGGATGGTTTATGCTGTCGGGACTGTATAGAAAGTATAAAGCCGGCTTGGTAATACTGTGTATCGCATTTTTTCATTCTTATTGGATACTGGTCTATGATCGACAAAACCTATGAAATGGAGTCGAGCAGATTCCGATTCTTACGTACTTCGCTATTATATCTTGTATTTCGCATATAGATAATCTTGCACGGCGTGCACAATTGACTGTGTCGTCATGTTGCCCAGGATTAAAACTTGGGCACTGTCCTTTGGACGTCTTATACAGTCCAGTGGACCGAAAGAACTCAAGCCAAATGCCGTCTCGCGGCCTTTGGTTAACCAGCGTCAACTATTTGAACTACCACAAAAGTCTCCATCGCAAGCTACTCAACGATTTCAGACATATGAAGAAGTTTGGCTTCGCGAATTTTTTTCAAAGAATTTCCCAGTTGTTAAAACGTTCTCGCCGTTACCTGCTCCTACTTGGGTTAGGTGTAGCAAACTTGCTACTAGTAAGCTTTTGTTTGGTGGGAGTAATAGAATCTTTGTAGCAAACAAACCAGTCTTTGAAAGGAATCTTCCTGGGTTTGGATTTCAACGTAATTTTTGTTCGGCTCCTAGAGCGGCTGCTCATTTCGCTAATACTGGAGGAATTATGTCGCAACTTGCTGGCAAGTCATTTACTGTTGCGGCAAATAAGACCAATATTTCTTCTTTACAACACGAAGCACATAAGAATAACGAAATATCACAGCTTTTTAACAAGTCATTTACTGTTGTGGCAAATAAGACCAATATTTCTTCTTTGCAACACGAAAGACATAATAAGAACGAGAAACCGCAAATTGTAAACCCTAGTAAAATTGTCAGCTCTACTACTGCTACTACGGCTAAAAAGACCGAATTTCTTCAACCGTTCTCACAAACTAAATCTGCTGGTTTGGTAGATGTCATCATCAAAACAAAACCACAAGAACAAAAAAAGCAACAACAAAAAGTTTCGCAATCTACTAAAACCAAAGTTATCAAGCACGTCTGTCTAACAAAAGAGACCGTCAAAAACCCCAAATGTGGCACAATGGCAAAGCAAACATTAAAAGAGAAAATCACTCCTATTGATGATAATGTTCAAATTTACATGTCGCTCAATGTTGCCTTGACTTCTGGGAAATTTATTTTCAGCAACAATTCCATTAAAAAGAATTCGGTGCTCGATTCTTCATTTATTCAAAATTTTGATGATATTGTCAAAAGACAACATCAGGTGATTTTAGATACATTGGAAAAGTTGTCAAGATTGAATAAAATTCTTGATATTCAATTCTTGGATTTCGAATTACGTGTTGTATTTCCTCGTGGTATGGATATCAAAAAAGTTCAAGAATTGTTGAAAAATTTGGGAATCGATCTTGAAAATCCGGTCTTTTCCTTGGGCTTAAACAATAATGTAGCAAAACCACTCGATAATATTAACCAAAGTTCGAACAATAATTCTGCGCAAACCGTAGATTCAAACCTCAATAACAACAATAACAATGATAATAGTAATATTGAAAC